CTGTTGAATTCTCTCTCATTGCAGCAAATTTGAAGGTCATAGCAGAAGTTCCTAGTCAGATAATCTAGTATCTCAAATAAACAAATTCCACACTTTCAGCTTTACAGTAGTGATAGTCTTACTGTTAGAAGAGGAATACAAAATATGGCTTCAGGATTGCTTTAAGCTAGAACATCACCACCCATTTCTGATTTTCTAGCCCTGTGGTTTTGCTGTGATATAAGAAGCATTTTCAGCTTTTCTATGTAATCATTCTTTTCTGATTTGTGAGGGATTTCTCCATGCACATTCCATAAAGTGCTGATTTTATGGGGATGATATGACATACACAGTGGCCCTTCGTGTTAGACAGATTTTATGCTCTACACTTTGTTCTAAATTAAGCCTCTATCCAAGTCAAAAGAATGAGGTTACAAGCATTCAGTGTTTGGCACAATTACCCTGGAGGGGGGTGTGTGTGTGTGTGTGTGTGTGTGTGTGTGTGTGTGTGTGTGTGTTGGGGAAGGAGAGAGGGAGGAAGAGAGAGAGAGAGAGAAGTAAAGGGCTGCCTCAGGCACATGTAATCAAAAGGACTGTAGATAAAAACAGATCCAAGAGGCTGGATTAGCTCTTTCCTTAGTGACAAGGGGACAAGGCTTAATTGAACAATTTAACTGGAGGATTAAGTCTCCCTGCTCATCAAGTTCTAGACTGACAGGGTGAAGGAAAGTGCTTTGCCAAGCCCTAACTAAACCAAATCTGACATGAGAATTATGGAATGGAAGCATGCGCCCAGTTCCTTTTTCCCCGGGGATACCCTCCCTATAGAGGAAAGTCTAAGGCCCACCTGCCACAGGTACACACTGAGGGAGGAAAGAGAATCAAGGTGGGGGTTTGAGCACAGTGTCAGCTGGAAAAATTAGAAAGCGGGAAAAAGATAGTGGGACAGTCTCAAACACTGAAATCATAGCCCAGGCACAATATTCTCTACATCTCCAACTTTTCATAAGCCCTCCCTTGAGCTCAACCTTGGTAGAAATCCAAGTAGTTCTCCTCCTCAAAACTCACGTTACTGTCTTAATAGCCACCAATACTCATTCTCTCATACCTTACACATGTACCATGGGGCAGGGAGGTCCATCAGTATCACATGGCTCCCACTCCAAGTGATCATACCCTCCAATTCTCCGCAGAAGCCCTTCCTGGCCAGTGCTCCTCATCTTTGCCTCATAGACCTGCTCTCATCCGTCATTCCTCCTCCCAGTGAGTGGTAGTATCCAAGCTAGGGACCTGGGACGTGTGTTAGTTGCCACTTGGTCTAATACAGCCTATATCCAGGTATTCACAAAGTCCTTTGCAGACTACCCCATACATCTCTGGAATACCTTCCACCTCTCTTCCCAACTGTCATAGACCAGGACCTTCAGACCTTATGTTTGGGCCAGAATTGGAAGAGCCTTGAAAGAGATCTACCTGGGTCCAATTTCAGGCCATGACCCCCTTCTCACTGCCAAGATTTCACTTGGTCAGTGTTCCAGTAGCTGAAATGTGGAGACAAAATGCTGTGGATGTTGTGTTTTCAGCCTATGAGTGCAAAGAACATACTACCATCAACTGGGTTAGTGTTTTTGATTGTCTTAATGTTTACAACTAAATCAGCTATAGTAGACAGATATAACCAAGAGAACAAAGATGAAATATCAGGTTATTGGGAAAGTCCAAGACTCCATACCCAACCAGCAGACCACTTACGGAATAAGCACAGACATCATTGCTATTAAAATGCTTTGGCTTCACTTCATTCAGACAAAAACAAAACAGAGTCTTGCTAGCAGCTTCCCAAGAACTGGTGCCAGTAATTTGTGATGAAATGATCTTTAAATGTGTCAGGTTCTCAAAATGTAATAATGGCCAACTTCAAGCAAAAGTGTAAGACAAGCTTCCTGGACAAGGTCAAAGCTTCAAATGAGAATTTAATTTCCAAAAAGATTTTTCCCTGAGCCAGATCTAAAGAAGAATGCAACTCTACAACTCGGAATATGACCCAAATGTAGATTCACCTCTGAGTACAAAAGCCAGCAGTAAGAATAAGATTTTCATGGCACATGCAAACAATACAACCAGGCTGGTCCTGAGAAGCCATCCTAGGAAAACAGCAGTAACCAAGAGAGAAATGCTGAGTGGTCTCTGTTTCTATGTAGTATCTGCAGGAAGATTGTAGCTTGGGGAGGGGTGGGGGAACTCATCTCAGGCTAAAATAGTCATTAGCTAATCAAAAGCTCAGACTCTTAAGAAGAGGGATCAATAAAACCATAATTATTGAGACTTTTCTATGAAAAAGGCAACAGTACCAAATTAATGCCATCAAACTATCCTGTAAAGGTAAAATATTTAGTCAACCAACCAGTTGTTTTAATTAGAAAAATCCAAACAAATATAGCTAACAAATTCTTTCTCTGATTCAGTTTGATTAACTTGCTGGCTCTGCTCATGTAAAAAGCAGGGATAAACTCCCCAGACCCAAGATTACAGCAAAAACTCGACTTGATGAAACTTAAATGAAAAAGTTATTATCTTCCCTTATTTAAAAAACAAAAATTTAAGAAGCATCTCAATACAAAGAAGTCAAATAGAAGAATTCAGGTATAAAACAGTCAGATTAAAAGGAAACCATCACAGAACCTATTCTTGGGCTTCAAGCCAAATAAAAAGCAAATATAATAAACCAGAAAGTCAGGACATCAGGAAGATCAATTATTAACCAAATCTGCAAATCCAAAGACAAGAGAATTTTTACTATTCAACCACCTAAACCACTGAAGTGGTTTGTAAAGTCTATGTCCTAACAGATCACACATGCCCTGATCATATGCCAATTAATACCAAATAGTTACTGGCTCACTTCCATTTATATGACAGTTATTCTCATATAGAAAAAATCCATTACTTGAAATCTAAGTATTTTAAAAGTAATTCATATTCAGTATTTGGTTTACCATGCTATTTGCCTGGCAAATAAAAAGGCAATTTAGGTTACCAATGAATAGTACCTTCCTCTTCTGGAATGAAAAAGATAGACAAATACATGTTTTAAACTATTTACTTCACTTTAACTCCCAGGTGGAAAGGAACAGAAGTGGTGACAAAGACTGTGTCAGGAAATGACCCAAGGGCTCTACCTTGCCAACTTGATACTTCTTTCACCTTTGAAGACCTGGCCTTTTTCTACAGCAAGTCACTCCACATTAGTCCTTCTAGGGCGAAACCCTCAGACAGAGCCACAGAGAGCAAAGACAGCTGAACAATGTGCTTGGACTGTGCCGTCAGCAGGCTGGCCCAGGGCCCGCCTGGAGAGCAGCGCGTCGTCGCCAAACCTGTGCTTCTGTCTCCAAGAAATATTTTGGAGAGAAGGAAAGAAAAGGAACTGAAATATTTTGAAACTAACACCTTCTACTCTCAACCCTGACCTCACATAAATCCATTTTCATCTCTGCATCAAGGAAGAGAAAAAGAAATGGAAAAGGAAAGAACTGAAGAGAAAAAGACAATATCGAAGAGAAAGGCAACTCAGAACATTGATTGAAAACTCTGAAGTCTGACTGACTTGGGTTTGAATCCTGGCTCTACAGCTAAAAAACTTTACGTGAGATCTTCGCCAAAATGCTTAATCATCATGACCTTGTTTTATCATGTGTAAAATGGGGTTACTAATACCTTCTGGGTAGTTGTGAGGAATAAAAAAATGGTAAATATGTGAAACATTTAGTGTGCTACCTGCCACAGAGGAAGTGGTCAGTAAAAAGTAGTTATAAAAATGGGGGGATGGGAGGAGGCATTCAGAGAAAAAGTCTCAAGGGTTCAAAGATTGTTCTAAACTCATTCAGAACATTCTCGTTGTCTTTAAAATCCACCTGAAAATATTTCCTAATCACCTACTCTATCATTAACCTGTGCTTTTTCAGAAATGAATGGGCCCTCATCCTCTCCCTCACTCTCAAGGTGCAGCTCAGGGAACAGAAATCACACCCATTAAATATGTCAAAAATAACCTAAATTGTACTAATTGTTAACTATTTCACATATAGTAATGCAAGTGCTGCAGCGATTTGGAGGAGGAGGCCAGTGCTGTTGACCTGCGGAGAGGGCAAAGTTCCAGGAAGGGGTGGTAGCAACGTGAATGGACGTTTAGAAGGGAAGGCGTGTCAAGTGAAAAAAGAAAGTGTGTCCTCGCTCTAGTTTTGCCACTGAAACACCAGTGATATGAGCAGGAGGTTGTGGAGTGAGGAGAGCCTGGATTAGGGAGGGGACAGGTGGAAAGAGGTGAGCATGGGAGCCATTTGAAGCAAAAATCGCCAGGACTTTGGAATTGAATATGAAAAATAGAGAGGTCTGCCTGTGTCTTTTTAAATTTTTCATTCCATTTTCAGGCAAAGTATGTTCCTTTCCACCTTTCTGGTATTTCTTAGAAGGATGCAAAATCGTGCTCTTCTGTATCCCTAGATAGAGGCTGGCATCGCATTTCTTGATAACCAGCTGCACAGGGCAAGGTTTACAGGTATTGCGTGGGCTGCGTCCAGAGCCCAGCTCTGCCACTGCCTAGCTGTGCGGCTTCCGGCAAGCAACCTGCCCTTCCGAGCCTCAGTGTCCTTAACTATAAAGAGGGGCCATTATGATACTCTTCTTATAAACTGTTGGGAGGATAAGTGAATCAACACATTTAATAAATTCCTCAGTTGAGAAGCATGTAGAAAATAGGGTCTTGTACATAGGAACAAATCCACAAAGTGATCTATTATCATTGTTATTACTTTTCATCTTTTACTTTTCATCTATTACTTTTCATTTTTAGTTAGAAAACAGCCACAGAAATCTCCAAGAATCATCTCACCCATGACGAAGGAGGAGGTATCAAGGGGAAACCCATCTTGAAACTGCACTTCTTTCAAAACTACCACCAGCAGTGATACCCCCGATGAAAGGCCCAGACAATCCAGTGTTACACAGAGGATTTGAACCCATACCTGGCTTGGTGAATGGCCTCCATCCACTCTTTACCGTCCTGCTCCTCCTCACAGCGCAGCTCCAGTGGTTTCTGACCTTCGTGGCCAAAAAGGACGGTAAAATAATACTGGAGAGAAAAACAAACAAACAAAAAACAATTTAGTTTTATTTTTCAAGCATGACAGCATAACAACATGGTATTTCCCTACAAAAGGCATATGTTTGCAAAGTGCATTTGAATTGTGTAAATCATATTTCAGAATGTAACATCACTCCCAGTTCATGGCAATGACTTTGCACCTAGAAGATACCATAGGTTGCTTCTTAACACCCCCCAGCAAGGGTCAGCTCAGAACATCTCATTAGATGCAGAAAAGGTATTTGATAAAATTCTTTACAAACTTAGGATTGAAATTCCTTACAAACTAGAAAATGAAATTTCTGAGCCTGATAAAGGATACTTGCCAGAAATGTACTACAGTCTACCTAATGGTGAACTATTACAAGCAACTCCTGTAAAATCAAAGGGAAGAAGATGATGGCAATTATTACCACTTCCGTTTATCAGTTCTGTCTGGAGGGCAACATAGGAAAATAAAAGGAAAAAGGCACAAGATATGGAGAACAAGGAAAAAAGATCAAAGATGATATAATTATCTATTTTAAAAAGTCATTGAAAAGTTATCACAATAAGAACATCCAGCAAAATTGTTACATATAAAAGCAATATACAAAAATTTATTGCACTTTGGTACAACAACAACAAAGAGGAAACTTGATCTTGAAAACACAGCATTTGCAATAGGAAGGAAATATAAAAACAAAAAATATGTTTATCACCTCTAAAAATAAATTAATCTATAATTTCAATGTATTTCAATAAGTTTTTTACATATATTTTATTGATTATGCTATTACAGTTCCCATTTTTTCCCTCCCCTTTACTCCCCTCCGCCCTGCACCACCCACACCCCTCACCAGTATTCTCTCACCTTAGTTCATGACCGCAGGTCATTTATATAAGTTCTTTGGCTTCTCCATTTCCTATACTATTCTTAACCTCCCCCTGTCGATTTGCTACCTACCATTTATGCTTCTTATTCCCTGTACTTTTTCCCCCGTTCTCATCCCTCCCCCTCCCCACTGATAATCCTCCATGTGATCTCCATTTCTGTGATTCTGTTCCTGTTCTAGTTGTTTGCTTAGTTTGTTTGGTTTTTGTTTTTAGGTTCAGTTGTTGACAGTTGTGAGTTTGTTGTCATTTTACTGTTCATAGTTTTGATCTTCTTTTTCTTAAATAAGTCCCTTTAACATTTCATGTAATAAGGGCTTGGTGATGATGAACTCCTTTAACATGACCTTGTCTGGGAAGTACTTTAACTGCCCTTCCATTCTAAATGATAGCTTTGCTAGATAGAGTCATCTTGGACATAGGTCCTTGCCTTTCATGACTTTGAATACCTCTTTACAGCCTCTTCTTGCCTGTAAGGTTTCTTTTGAGAAATCAGCTGAGAGTCTTATGGGCGCTCCTTTGTAGGTAACTTCTCCTTTTCTCTTGCTGCTTTTAAGATCCTCTCCTTATCTTTAATCTTGGGTAACAATTTTGATGTGCCTTGGTGTGTGCTTCCTTAGGTCCAACTTCTTTGGGACTCTCTGAGCTTCCTGGATCTCCTGGAAGTCTATTTCCTTCACCAGATTGGGGAAGTTCTTCATTATTTTTTCTAATAAGTTGTCAATTTCTTGCTTTTCCTCTTTTCCTTCCAGCACCCCTATAATTGTAATTTATATATTACAATTTCACATTATTCACAGACCCTAACCCTATATAACCTTGGGCATGCTTATGTTTACTATGCTCTCATGTTTAGTCATCTCTCTCGTTTAGTTGTCTCTTCTCGGACCCTTGTAAATCGGTGTGTTCCTGTCATTTGTTTTCTTCAAAACATCACTTATTCTCTGTGAACATTAACATACTGATGTAATGAGAGAGCCTGTACATTCTTGTTACCTGGCCCCACTGATTACCTTTTCAATAAAAGCCTTTGAACAAAGGGACTCGGGGCCTTCCCCACTAGGGGGATGTGCCACGTCCCCTCTCCTGGGAAACAGAGAAGTGTTCGCAATGAATCATATTTATGCCCCCATCCGTGACACCCCCGGGATGGGCTCTGCAGGATTCAGAGTCCCCGTTCCCATCTCAGCTGGCCCTGGACAGTAACCCTCATCCCGGAGCGCCGTGCTCCACATGATGCACTCTGTCCCCCCACGCAACAGGTATGGGGGGCAACCCAGGTCACTGCCTTGTGATGTTGTGTGTGGGGAAGTGGTCAGAGAGGGAACAATGCCACTTGCTTGGCTCTCAGCTGGCTTTCAGTCACTTCCCTCACTACCCACAAGCAAATTGGGCCCTTCTGGTGCCGATTCCCAGGTGGGTGGGTTTGTGTACATTCTAGGACCCTGTAGATCTTGCCAACAAACACTCCTGTGAGGCTGAAAGTTTCTCCTGCAGCCACAAATCCCACAGATTTTTACAGCCAGAGGTTTTGAGGCTTTCTTTTCTCATACTGGAACTCTGGATTGCAGTTTGTCTCACTACCTGTTGTTCTTCCTGGCTTATCTGCACACAAATGTGGGGCTGCCAGCCGCTGCCTTGCCCACCTGGTCCTCCAGGGGATGTCCTCTCCATGCATCCTCTCTGTCCCAGTTGCCCGTCTCCGCCCCTCCTACCCATCTGGATGAATGTTTCTTCTTTAACTTCTTGGTTGTCAGGCTTCCATATAGTTCAATTTTCTGGCAGGTCTGGTTGTTTTTTGTTTTTACATTTGTTATCGTTCTTCTTTTGGTTGTATAAGGAGATAAAGTGTATCTATCTACACCTCCATCTTAGTCAGAAGTCCTTTCAATGAATAAGTTTTTGTGGAATAGGTTGTTTCTTGGGGTGTGTGTATGTGTGTGTGTGTGTGTGTGTAATTTGACAAACTAAATCTAAAATCTGAGTCAGGGATGGGAGAACATTTCACTTTAAACCATTCTGTTTCAGGCTGGATATATTAATTACCAAACTGAGACTGCCTGGGAAGGAAATGTGCCTGGAGAATTTTTCATTATGAGAGTAACCAAAAAATTCACTGGGCCTACCCAAGACTTCATCCTGGGTCATGGAAAGAACCAGCCCCACAGAGCTGCTCTGAGAGAGAGAACCAAAGACCAAAACACAGGGGTCTTTCTGTTGTCCCACCCCAACACACTGTGTGTTCAGTGTAACTGTTAAATACTCAAACGAATTAAAAACTTTCAGGACAACAGTTCTGGAGATAAGAATTTTGAGCAAAATTTTATCAAAAAAAAGGCAAAACAAGAAACTTTGTAGGTTAACTTTATAAGTTAACTTATAACTGAGCATAAATCAGCAGCCACTGAGGACTCTGGGTCATACCTGTGATACCCATGACACTTCCCCAGGGCAGTGCTGAGCCCCACAAATGACAAGCTATCTTTAGTCCTTAAACCTCTTGTCCAGCCTGAGGACTAAATGCTATGAACTACAGGGAAATAATCTGATGAAAAGGCCACTGAGAATGGGAAGAATTGAGTTTAGCACTGTATTCAATAAATGTTCATTTAAATTTGGGAGAAAGAGAGTGGAAACTCAATAAAATAACAAATCAGTGGCTTAAAGGGCAATCCTATACGTGATGGCATTTCAATAGCTTCTGGCTACTATCCAAGCCCTGAGGCCCAGTCCAGGGAGAGGAAACAATTAATGAACCGGCCCAATCTATTGAAAGACTACAGCCAGCACCTCAACAGCAGCTGCTGCTCAGCAACACAATTAAAAGCCACCTTTAAAAGACAGCAAGGCAATTATGTTAGCAGAGTACATCCAAAGGTTAAGCCATGTCTCAGGCATAACAATGAGGGAAAGAATTTGGAGAACTACATGTTACAGTTTCCAAAATTTCAATTTAAAAAATTCACTTCAACCACTCAAAAAAATTAAACACTGCCTCTCTGCATGTACCTGAAACCTATTTCTTTGTAGCCATTTGTCAAAAAGTCTTCTTTGCATCTTCTGGGCACACTCTGATAAGAACTCTGTCTATACCGAGGATTTCTGTGTCCTGGGGACCGGCGGTCACAGCGGACACCCTTGACAGCACAGCACTCTGCGTCCTCTCACCTCCCCCACGGCAGGAACTGGAAGTGCCACGTACTAAGTCATCATGAAGTGCAAGGAAGAATTAAGACAGCGTGATAATCATGTTTATGTCTTTAAATTCAGCCTCTACAATGACAGGGATTTCTCTTCTTTTTCTCCCTGGATATTCTCACGTATTCCCAGGCAGGTTCTCTCTCCCACGTGGGAGCCCCAGATTTCTCTCACTAGTCAACATGCCCAAACCAAACACGCCCAAAACCAAACCTTCCTTTCCTCCCTCACACCCCCTGATGCTCCTCCTCCAACGCCTGCCCTCACAACTATTCCTTCTCACGTCTTTTCTCTGTCAACTACATTTTTACCCAACAGTGGTCCCAGCTAGGAACATGAAAGTCACCCTCAGCTTCTCCCTCTCACTGGCCCCACATTTGGTTTCACCAATGCTCCTTGCTAGGGCCCTCTTCCAGCTTTTATTGTCTCTCACGTAGACTACTGTAACAGTTTACCACAGAAGACAGATACGGCAGCTTTGAAATACTGTCCAGTTGAGATTCCTTTATCTTATAGCTGATCTCTCTCCCCCATTGTACCCTGGCTGCCACTGTAGCCCAAAGTGGAAGGATAATAGCCCCTCCAGAAGGAGGACGGGAGGACCTAGAGAAGCCCCAGTGAGTTCGGGGGTCCAGGAGAAATGTTCAGAGAAGAAGGGGCCAAAGTAGATACAGAAAACAAAAAGAGGCAGAGACCACGTGGTGTAGCCACTAGGGGCTAAAATCCCAGAAAAAAGTGAGGAGTTAAAGGGGTTCATGGTGAAGCCAAAAGCCAAGAAATTTCTGTATCATTTCCCCTCTGGGGATCTAAAGGATGTCATCCCACAGACTGTCCTCTCTCCTCACCCCCATCTCCATGACAACATGGGGTGGTGACCATATCAGTAAAACTGGTGTCAGAACAGTTAGAAAAATACA